AAAAAAAAAAAAAAAACTCTGGCTCTGCCACTTGTTACCTGTGTGACTTAGAATGAGTTATTCACTTTCTCCCAAGTCAATTTTCCCATCTGCAAATATGAGGAAATCCACTGCCTACCTGGCAGGATTTTTCTGAGGATTCAATGAGATAACGTATGTGAAAGACCTAAGCACAGTGCACAGCACACAGTAGGAGCTTCATAAATGTTAGTTTCCTTCCTACCTAACTTTATAAGTTTTTTTTTTTTTTTTAATTATAAGTTATGCTTCTTTTTCCAGTATTGCCTACAAGGTAACTTGAAAACCATTGGGTAAAATAAAACCAACACCATTATAAATCAGTGGTTTCCAATCCTGGCTGCATGCTCGACTTACCTGGGGAGCTTTAAAAATAGACAGATGAGGAGTTCTGGTAAAATGGTGGAGTAGGCAAACTACACAGACCCTCTTCAACAAAGAAAAGAGAAACCAACTGATACAGATACAGAAGATAATCCTGGCACCTTGTGCTTTGAAAGGAAGATACAGAAGTGGACAAAACTCCATCTAGTAGAAGAACCTGCATGAAAATACTAAATAAGGAGACAAATGGAGTTGTGGACTTGTCAGCAATCCTGACAGCACAGACAGTTTGGATATTTCCAAGTAGTGTTATCAAACCAAACCAAGTGGTGTCAGGACCTAAGAATTAACCTAAAAATCGGCCTTGCTCACCAAGGGCTGCAAGGAGGACTACACTGGTGGCTGATGACTAAAAAGGTAAACAGCAAAGAAGGAGAAAAACTGAGCTGTGGACTTTTGCTGTCCAGAGGGTGCAGCCATTTTGAATGTTTATGAGCGGTTCGACAACTTTGTATATTTAAAGCGACAGCATTCTCTCAGATTCCAGGGATGTAAGAATAGTTTCGACTTGTCAAAGACAGCACAGACACATTGGACACTAAGAACTTGGAAAGGTGCAATATTCCCCTTGTTACCATTATACCCTATACCCCCTTGATGAATGGAGGTGCGGCCATCCCTCACTCCATCCACCTTCTGGGCCAGCAGGAATTCCATCCCAGTCTGTGTGCTCTGACTGAGCCTGGATGCCCTACCCTGCCATCCCCAGATTTGTTTTTTAATTTTTTTTCCCCTTGTTTTATTTTTATTCTTTCTTCTTCCCTTCCCAAGTTCTAATTTTCAGTTTTATCTCTCTTCCTTTTTCCTGGTTCCCATTTTTATGTTTCTTGTGGTTTGCGCCATCCCTTGTTTTTCTTTTTGCAATTTTCCTTCATTATTCTCTTACTTTACCTCTTTCTTCATGTTCCCCCTTCCCCTGATAGTGTAGGGTTATTTTTTTCTCTCTTTTTCTACTCATATTTCTTTTTTCTTTATAAGTATTTCTTT